TGTTCATAACTAGTCCTGTTTATTTCGATATAATGTTAGGTCTTGTTTAGGTTTTATGTCTGTCTTTGAATTTTGACTTTTAAAGTGATTTTATTCATTTTTAGTTTAGTCGAACTGATGATGGAGCTAGACTCCGAAACGTTTTCAATATCGATATGGTGAATTTTCTTGGCGTTTTCTTTGCTTTTAAATTCCTTGTTAATTCCATTAGCCTTTTAATTCGAACATTCTGCTATATTTGAATAAACAGCCGCTGAAAAAAACTTCGTTTATTCATAACGATGGTTCAGCTCGGAGTAATTGCTGCGGCAAAATGCTTGGTAAATATTGAAGTTTCATAATGTGAATGAACCTTGCACAAATTTTGACATAGGTTCGATTCGAAACATTTTCGCCACGAATATTCTTGCGTGAAATAAGTAATTGATATCACTCGACTATTTTGAAATGTTAGGAGTGAGAGACCTTCACCACATTGTGTCACAATTTTTCCCTTGCCTTTGACCGCCATCCCTACTCGCCACCCTCTCGATTTATTTGTGTTTTACTGTCGATTTTTGGCTGATGTGGCCATGCCTGTTACGCCACCTATAATCTACCGTTGCCATCTATAATCATAGATGCACGACTCTTAATTTTCATTTGGGTATTTTTTATCCTTTTTTTAGTTCTATCTATTAGATCAACGTCAAAGTATACTTTTCTCTCAGTCATCTAATATCAGTTTTCTAATATTTCAGACATTTTAAAAACAAACCTGAACTATTTCTGATATAAACTGCACTGCCTAAGGTTCTACTTCATTATCTATCACTTGGATGGCGCTGCAATCAATAAAATGATGCGCCGCATTTGTATTAATTGCCTTAGGTAGCTTGCAAACGCATCTCCTGCCTACAGCAACAACTGTGCCGATATCAGTGTAACTGAACAAATTTTTTCGTCATTACATGCTGAGGTATTTATGTCGGTAATGAATGTATTCGCTACGTCATTACATGCATATATTGTTATCTCGGCCATGAATGTATTTTCTACGCCAATTCATTGAGAGATACTAAAGCGTCTCACGTACGGTTTGAGGGAAATAAAGACGCTTTTTACGATATCAGTATAGAACCCTGTATGAATAACAGATCGTTATACGAGTTACACAAATATAAATACATAAAAAACGATTATAAACATTATAAATCAATTCAGCTATTAAACAAAGTAATTAGTATGCGATGACAGTTGCTACACCTACGTACTTACTCTAACAAGAGGTTCTGGTGAAATGAATCAAATAATACAAAAATCATATAAAGAAAATAAAGTTACCTATTGTTTTATTCATTGTGGTGACGTTCATATCTAAACGAATCATAATTTTACAATTTGAATCTGATTCTAAATTTCTAAATATTTTATTACATTAATTCAAAATCATGAAAGGAACCGCTACAATACTTGGCCGGAAGTGAATGTATACTTCTACATGAAGTCGTGCAGAGACAGTAATGTCGGTTTTCAATGTACTTTCCGTGTCAAGATTAGTATTTCCACGTCGTGATATTCATGTCGGTATTGAACTCGTTTTCTACGTTGAGACATGCAGAGATTTTTATCATATTTATGTTGGTAACGAATGTATTTTCTACATCGAGTTGTTAAGAGATATATACGTATATATGTTGGTAATGTATGTATTTTCTATGTCAATACATACTAAGATATTTCGGTGATGACTGTATTTTTTTGCGTCAGGTCATGCAAACGTATATATGTTGGCTACGAATGTTTTTTTACGTCATGGCATGCCGAATTATTGTTTATGAATTCATGAATGTACTTTGTCAAGAAATACCGAGAAATTTACGTAGGTAACGAATGCATGCACATTCTACACCAAGACCAGCAACGATAACGTAATGTCTT